AAGATGCACACTACTCACCAAATTGAAGTAGATATATAGAGAGTAAAGTGAGGCTGGTATACAAGATGCACACTACTCACACATTGAAGAAGATATATAGAGAGTAAAGTGAGGCTGGTGTACAAGATGCACACTACTCACACATTGAAGTAGATATGGAGAGTAAAGTGAGGCTGGTATACAAGATGCACACTACTCACACATTAAGAGTAAAATGAAGTTACTATAAAAGTATGAAGTTCTTTTTCTTTTAAACAATGATTACAAATAGCGTATCAATCTACGAAAAATAAACTATTAATAATAAAGTGCGTGTGAGAATGTATATTATTTTTAGATGTGGATAGTGATAATTCTACACATACCTTCAGATACATATATATCACGTTTTGTGTATCACACCTAAGTCATTAATGATAAATGTGCTTCACATACATCTTGGAAAGTACCATGTGTAATTCAAACTCCTAATTATTAGTCCTGATTGTGTAAAATGTGGATTGATTTGTCTCATTTGATTTATGGAAAATAGAAATGAGAACACTAGGACAAATGAGTTTTTCAGCTCGTGACATAGAAGTAAGAAAAATATTCAGGAACTTCAGTCCCAAATGTTCTGTTTGCAGTTAATTTAGTTTTAATGATTTTATAGGCAAAGGAATAAAATATGACTTAACGCAAAATAATGCTCGTGTTTTGGAAAATTTTAGACCTCTAACTATTCACCATACAGCAAATATAAAACATGTATCTTTAGTGCAAATGAACTGGCGTGGTTTATAATGGAAAGCATACCTATACCCACAAGGAGCTTCAGAATTAATATTTCTGGTTTCCATTCATTGGATGAATCATATCATATGCTGCTTTCAAATAAATTATTTAGCACATTGTTCAAGCTAAGGTTGTTTAAGTGAACTACTTTGGTTGATATATCGAACATACCAATATCAAAAAATACTTTAAATTGATTTATAGACTAAGTGAGGCAGTTTTATCACCGTCAATAAGTTGATGAACATTATAATAATTGTATTTCCGCAATTATTATAAGTTTACACGTTACAAGAAACACACAATTCGATCACAGATAAGGAGTACAACAAGCGTATTTTCGTAATTTTAGAATGTTGTAAAGTAAGCTTACACTTAACAAAAACAACCGGATTAGATTATTTGCTCCTTATATCTTTCCATAAGTGACAGTGTATGTGACCAATTTCAAGTGTTCTCACATCAAGGTCTAAGATATAAAAACATTAAAAGTTATTCAATGCTATGCACATCCACAAAATACAAATAAGGGGCTCTGTTACACCAGAAATAATTACATTAAAGTAAAAAAATCCAAAAGAAAATCATAACCTTACATGTACGTTTTATTTTTCGTGCATTAACCACTTGAAATAATTTGTATGTTGAATGTTGCTCTAGACATGGTAAAAATGTTACCCATACAGGTTAAGCTATTCTGCAAGAACTAAACTTTCAGTTGAGATAATCATTGTAACCAGATGCTTTAGAATAAGCTATCCTTTAAAAGAAACTAACATGGCCGCTGAAAAGCCAGACTGAGGTAAAGACTTATAGCCAATATTGGCATCATAATTTATACTGATCGAAGTGAAATGTCAAATTGAGGCATTTATTTTATCAACATCAGCATATGACTCTTAGTGAAGCTATATTATTAATCTTCAGTTGTGCTAAATATAATACTGTGTGTGATATATCTTTTCACTGCTCACCTTCACATCTGTTACATAAAAATAAC